TGTTACACAGTGTCCCTATCCAGTGTGTTACACAGTGTCCCTATCCAGTGTGTTACACAGTGTCCTCATCCAGTGTGTTTACACAGTGTCCTTATCCAGTGTGTTTACACAGTGTCCTTATCCAGTGTGTGACACAGTGTCCTTATCCAGTGTGTGACACACTGACTGTCTCTATCCAGTGTGTTTACACAGTGACTGTTCCTATCCAGTGTGTGACACACTGACTGTCTCTATGCAGTGTGTTACATGCTGTCTGTCTCTATCCATTTGTGGGATGTGGTTGTTGCTGGCTGGTCCCAGCATTTATTACCCCATCCCTAGTTGCCCCCTTGAGAAGGTGGGGGTGAGCTGCCTTCTTGAACCGCTTCAGTCCATGTGCTGTGGGTTGACCCACAATGTCCCTTAGGGAGGGAATTCCAGGATTCTGACCCAGCGACACTGAAGGAACAGGGAGAAATTTCCAAGTCAGGGTGGAGAGTGGCTCAGAGGGGAACTTGTAGGGGATGGTGTTCCCATGAACAACAACAGAAGTTGCTGGAAATGCTCAGCAGGTCTGGCAGCATCTGTGAAGAAAAAGATCAGAGTTAATGTTTCGGGTCTGGTGACCCTTCCTCAGTAGCCTGACTAGTCTGTGAGACAGCTCTCCCAATTTTGGCACCAGCCCCCAGATGTTAGTGAGGAGGACTTTGCAGGGTCGGCAGGGCTTTTTCTGCTGTTGTCTTTTCCGGTGCCAAGGTCAATGCCAGGTCATCTGTCCAGTTTCGTTTCTTTGAGTCTTTGTAGCGATTGGTACAACTGAATGCCTTGCTGGGCCATTTCAGAGGGCAGTTGAGAGTCAACCACATTGCTGTGGGTCTGGAGTCACATGTAGGCCAGACCAGGTAAGGATGGCAGTTTCCTTCCCTGAAGGACATTAGTGACCCAGATGGGATTATCCAACAATCGGCAATGAATTCATGGTCACCAGTAGATGCTTAATTCCAGACGTTTTTTCTTGAATCCAAATTCCACTATCTGCCGTGATGGGATTCAAACCCTAGTCCCCAGAACATTGTCTGGGTCTCTTGGTTAATAGTCTCGCGATAACACCACTGGGCCATCACCTCCCCATATTGACCCAACTGATCAAAATCTCTTTGTAATCATAGATAACCTTCTTCATTTTCCACTATACCACCAATTGGGTTGTCATCCTCAAACTTACTGACTGTGCATTTCTATATTTTCATCCAAATCGTTTATATAAATGACAAAAAACAGTGGGCCCAGTATGGATCCCTGCAGAACACCACTAACTACAGGCCTCTGGTCCAACAAACAACCCTCCACCAACACCTTCTGTCTCGCTATTTCGACCTCTCTGCCTGCATCTCTCTCTGTCCCTACATCTATTTCTCTCTCTATGTCTCTCTCTCTATATCTCTCACTATCTCTCCCTCCCCTTCTCTCTACCTCGCTCCGTCTTTCTCTCTCTGTCTCTCATTAGCTGTCCCTCTTTCTCTCTGTCCCTTCCTCTATCTCTCCCTCGATGTCTCTGTCTCTATGTCTCTCACTCTCTTTCTCTTTATCTTGCTCCCTCCTTTTCTCTCTGTCTGTCTCACTGTCTCTCCCTCTCTCTTGCTCCCTCTCCCTCTCTTTCTCTCTCCGTCTCTCTCACTATCTCTCCCCCTGTGCCTCTCTCTCCCCAAACCTCTCTTTCTTGCACCCTCTCCCTCACTATCTCTCCCCTTCTCTCTCTCTCTCTCTCCATCTCCCTCTCTGTCTCTCCCACTATCTCTCCCTCTCTTTCTCTCTCTCTTTGTGCCTGTGTGAGTTCTATGCATCTGTTTCCCTGGTCACTGGGAAGTGGGAGGGTGGTTTGTGTTTGGGGAGTCTCTGACTCCTGACAGCCCTATCCCCACTTCCCCCCCCTCCCCCCCCTGCACCATCCCCCCCCCCCCCCGCCCTCACCCTTCCGTTTCTCCATCCATCCTTCAGGACTCTGCTTGTGATGGAACATTGACCCAGCCACCTGGCACTTTCCAGAATTGTCTGTTCCCTTCAAACGTCCTCACCCCTGTACCCTCTCCCTGTGGGTCAGTGTCCCCTCCCCCCCATCGCTGTGGGTCTGTACCCTCTCCCTGTGAGTCAGTGCCCCCTCCCCCCCCATCGCTGTGGGTCTGTACCCTCTCCCTGTGGGTCAGTGTCC